CGACGACGCGCGACCTCGTCGTCTACGTACGACGGACGAGGTACGTACGTACGACGACGACACACACACACACACACACACACACACACACACACACACACACACACACACACACACACACACACACACACACACACACACACACACACACACACACACACACACATACACACATACACACACACACACACGCGCGCGCGCGCGCACGCACGCACGCACGCACACACACACACACACACACACACACACACATCTGCCCACCGAGTTATGTGGGACACGGTCAAATCGTTTTCTGTCATGCGACATTCACAAGCCCTTTATACAAAATGGCGAGCAAAACGTTACATGCGGAACGCTGATTAGTTGACGGCCTGCCTGCCACCCGCGTAGATGACAATCATGCTCGGTAATGCTAACGGCAACCTGTCGCCGAGAGCTAGGTGTTATTACATGCTATGAGGATCGTATAACGACGCATCAATAACGAATATTGCCGGAGACCATGCATGTCGTAAATGGCATTCTAGGCACATAGGTACCGCTGACAATATTTCGCATTACTGCTATATACTGATGCTGGATGAAATATGATACGTTTCCGACGGAATAACAAACAGACTGTATAACGTGAGTTTCGTTTTACTTATTTATTTCTATGCCAAACCATCAGGGAAGTAGGTACTCATAGGCCATTCGCGTAGGTATGGACACTGTCTCTCTCGTTAGGGCACTGTAAATATGTGTGAGAACATTATAGTAAGGTTTTGTAACCTATCTGTTCTTTATTGATTCCGATTTGTCCGTGACAATCATTAGCACAGTAGTAGTGCAATTGGTTTTTGATTTATATCCTATGATTGTCTGTATATGGTGCAGGATTATATAGATATAGATAGATGTGCAAGTTTATATGGATATAACCGAATTCATGTTCAATATTGATAATTATGTAATCCGGATAGGATGTCACATAGAAAGATGCAGTGACTCGGCGTGCAGCCTAGGCGTGCAGAATAGGCGTGTACCCGGCATGCCACTACTAGATATACGAGCTGCTTATACCCTGAATAATCTCACATCTGCCTGAACAAAATATAAATTCCGCGTTCAATCCGCTCACAGAATTGAGCTGATTGAAAGTTAAACTATTGCGAACTGTCGTAATATTGTTAGCACGAGCTAGTAGCATCGCACTGCGCATGCGCGCACGGGTCAGATGATAAATACAATGTGCACAGCTAGCGACGCGCGGCACAGACGAACGCACAGCGACTCTAAGTTCCCGCATGACACTAGATCTTGCTAGCATCGTCACAGCAATCAGGTCGTCAATTAGGGTCGCTCCGTGTGTTGTTAACGTGCGGGTATCTACTGGGTGTGTGTGTGTGCCGCCACAACGAGCGGTTGTACACGCTAGCAGCCGACTAGTTCTACGAGCGCGGACAAGCGGTGTTCTTTCTCAGAACATATTTTTTTACTGTTGAACATGATAGAAGCTGTCATTGCGTTGTGACTTCACTTCTGCTACGTGCACTCGGCTAATTGTGGCCGGCGGCTTAGTGAGGATGTGACTGTGCAAACAACGAGCAGCGAAGCCATATCGAGATTCACCTAAGATTCATATAGCTTCTTATCAGCCGTCTGCCCATCGACACCATATACGAAATACCAGTGACGGGAGAACGTAATCAATCAATCAATCAATTGATCGATTAACCGAGTTTGATCATTTTGATTAGGAATGCGAGCAATAGAAGACGTAATCAATCGCCGATGAATGATCAATCCAGCGTTTGATCCCATCACGATACTCAGCGTTGTGAGAGTATAGTTTAGGATGGCGTCACTGATCCTAGGCAACGTTCTCGCAATTTCTCTGCTTCATCCGATTTTCACAGGTGCTTTCACAGGTAAGTGTGTTATTATTGTCAATTAGTGTATACTGTAATTACAGTTATCGGCAGTAGTAATGATGTCGACCCCCTAGTCTAAAAGACAAAATTTGGGAATATTCGCTAATGTGACAGATGGTCCGATTTAATTGTATTTGCGCACGCTCACTATCTTCTAAAAGTAGACATATTTGTAGAAACTGTAATTTTAAGGTAAAAAGTGTGTACTCTCGAGTTGTCCGATGTAGGAAAATGTCCATAACGCCGTGCCTTTATAGTCTGAATAGCTTATATAGCTGTAATTTGATATAACTTATATTTCATTACAGCGATTACGCAATATACTAGTCACAGTGTTGCTAGATTATTTCAGGGCTATCTAAAGTTTGCATGTACGGTTCGGAGAATTACGTGAGTGACGCCATCGCCGGATGTCTAAAAAACCTCGAGAAAAGAAAGCTGTTCTGTTCACCGGCTACAAGTGGACCGCCGAGGGATTCATGCGCACAGATAATTTGCAAGTCAGTCCCACTGATAAACGTGATGAACGATGAACTACGAAAGCTCAGACGGCTGAGTCTAAATTCGAAACTCGAAGATATGAAATCGAAATCTAACCAGCTTTTCTGATCAATCACATTGCGTGTTACTTTACACTCTTTAGCTGACGAATTGAAATACAAAATTCGAATGTCGAATGAGTGTTTTAGTGTTTTGTGCTGCATTAACATCTGTACGTCTTGCTTCACATAGAACATGGCGTAACATCACGGCGCACGCGCTACCAAGTGGCTATACCGTGTATACCATAGCTATACCATAATACGATAGTCTAAAGCCTATCGTCTATATTAGCTAATCTATAATCGATAGCCTATAGTCTATAATCTGTATTCTATAGTATGATTATCAAGCGGATTATTAATAGATTATTAATATAGATAATCGATTATCATCCACTCCTGATGTTTTGATACTAGTAAAATGGGGCCCCCGTATAGCACCGCTTGCCTTCGGCACGCCTTCGCTCAATTATCAACCCCCCCCCTCCGTCTCCCGAAAGCTAGATCCGATCCTGTCCGACTTTCAAGTTCATAAATTGCGAATCAGCAGCTGAAGTTAAGCGTGTAAACCACGTGACGACGAGTCTTTCTCTCGCAGAGAGCAGGCCGTCGCGCTCAGATGTTTGACGGTGTTATCCGTCGTCTGCAAGAATGACGTCACGGGCGCGGTACACGTGCGAAAGCACATAGCCCTGCTCAACGAGAACCGTGGCGCCACCTGTCGTGACTCGGACACGCTTGCACCAGCTGACGTCAGGAACTACGATGGCGACGGTGGCGACGATGACGATGACGACGAGCGGTCGGTGAATGATTCGTCGTGTGCCGACGCGCCGACGCTGAGCGAGGCGATCGAGCGATGCGCCTACGACGTCGACAGTGCCTATGTCTCTTATGTCGACTGCTCGCGGGGTCTAAGTGACGTCGGCTGTACGCACATGCTGTGCACGTAAGTGTGCTAGATGTATGTAGGCCTAGATGCGTATAAGTATGTGTGTGTGTATGTGTGTGTGTGTGTGTGTGTGTGTGTGTGTGTGTGTGTGTGTGTGTGTGTGTGTGTGTGTGTGTGTGTGTGTGTGTGTGTGTGTGTGTGTGTGTGTGTGTGTGTGTGTGTGTGTGTGTGCGTGCGTGCGTGCGTGTGTGTGTGTTTGTGTGTGTGAGCGCTCGCGTGCGTGCGTCTGTGACTCTGTCTGTCTGCCTGACTCACTGTCTGGCTGTCCTTCCATCTCTTTTATCACGAGATTCTCTCTTTTTTAAGGTGAAAGACACTGAGTTGTATGTAATAACATTGTATAGCGCTCAATGGGGCCGGCGGTCCAGCATACATACTCATGTTAGTAACAGACATCAGTGAGGCGTGCATAATTTTCACGTTATGTTACTCTCAGTAAGTATTGCCTATATGGCTCGTTTAGCACTAGGGCTGATACGTGATGTGACACGCTCTAGCTGACATATACCTCAGCAACACTTGCACTGCTTTTAACCAAAAGTAAGCAAAGCTATAATTAGTCAAATCTACCTACAGAAAGGAACCCCCGATATCTGCGCAAACATCACGCTGTTGTGCATAATCTTCATCCATCTTAGCAAGTACCGCTTCCTTCTCGATTGATATTAATAGTCACATACTTCACAAATTGTTTAAAAACATAGTACCTGCCCTCATATCGTATACAAATACCTATGTGTTTCGTATAAGCTTCGCTGGTGTATATAGACCGTACATTAAAACAAATTATACCTCCCCTCCCAGTGTAAATAAGTTCCCCCAGCAGCTGACGTAACTTTAGTTCAACTCGCCCCTTGGTGTACTACCGTTGACTGCCTGCGTAATTACATTGCCCCGCGCACTGGTGTAAATTTACACCCCGTAGCTAATATAATTATACTGTCACTTCTGTGAATGCGGGGAGGGAACCTCCTGTAGCGTGACGTATCCCACGCGTGGGCATTTTGGATCCGGCCTTGATAGCGGCCGCGGGGAGTAGAATATGTAATGGGAAACAGCATCGATGTTACCGTGTCACGTTACTACTCGGCTCAGCATGAGTCGGTGCAATGACAGGATGACAGCAACACGAATCAGCGACTGCGTTTATACGCCGCGAACATAATGAATTGTATTCAATCACAGCGCGACGGGTGACCATATTGCACGGCAGTAGGGGAAAATAACGTTGATCGCGTGCAATTATAGTACCTAGCTGTAGTCACGGCGTCCGGCGAGCTGATTAAACCAAACACGGACCCTTGGGTTTCCTCGTAGAGATCTCACACGAGACTTTTACTATAACTTTAACTCGCCGCTTAACGCTAACCTTAACCCTAACACTAACCTTATCACTAACCCAAACGCCAACAATTAACCCTCATTCCTATACACGAGTGTTACCCTAACCCTACACAAAACCCTTACCCAAGCTCTAGCCGATTTTGTTCCAAGCGATCATGCTTTCTTTTGAAGAAATTATGCCTTCATCATTTATAGTAATAAAACAGGAGTCTGATTCATATGACATGCAATTCAAGTGAATTTATTAGCTCACGAGGTACTTACTAACCATAGATATGGTACTATATACTACGACATGGTTGGCTAATTTATATTCATAAAATAGAACGTCAAAGAAATATACCTAAAATTATATTTCTCTAAATTGTGTTTGCAGTGAGCCGCATCATCGGTGCTATGATAAAAGTCGGCATGACTTAAAATATGAAAATTTAGGCTTCATTTAAAAGCAATCTACCTGAAACAATGCAATTAATGTTTTTACTTGAGTGAACGTTTTTCGTGGAATATCCCATTCTAATACAGTATTGTGTTTGTTTGCCATTGCAGCGCGGCGCGTAAAGCGCATGTTTGTTTGGCGAGGATTTTTCGTGACTGCGATGAAGACCGGTCCATCCTATACGACCTAAAATACCACGCCTCCGCCCTGAGGAGGGACTACGGCTCGTTGTGCCCTCTGCCGGTGATTATATGCATTTAGTCTATTTAACACATACTCAACATTTGTTGGCAACCTGCTAAAGTGTTAAATTTGGTCAATGTTATATATTAAATGTTAAAATGTTAGAGACAAGTACTGAGCGGTGTCGCAAAAGCGTAACATTCATTGTCATTTAACAAGAATTAAGAACATGCAAATAACAAAGTGGAATGGTGCGTGTCTTATTTTCTCAGCGCGTCAACAAAGTCGCTCAACGCGTTGCCTTTTTTCTTGAAACACTCTATATGCCATAAAACGCCGTTAAACAGATGCTGCCAACATGTGTTGAACTTCGTTTACAAGGCCATATACCTCACGCAGCACTTAGCGTGACCAATAACGACGTCAGGCGTAGTACTGTTCGTTAGTACTGCATAAGCGGGAGGGTATTGGTGGGATATAGCGGGGGGGGGGGGGTAAAATGATGGATTTCGTGGCAATTTTTATGCTGGAGCGGACGATAATATATCCGCGCATGGGTGAGACCAAATTTGTCTACATGTTTTTAGTTTTAAGCCTAATTATTTTCGACATGCTTTGGTGATTCAATCAGAAAATTTCAGTAAGAAATGGAAATATTCAACGGCAAGCTGAAAGAAGGTCTTAATGTTTGCTGTAAATCGATAACCAGGGCATTCCATTAGGACCCTCCAGTAGAGGCAGTGATAGGAATCCTATACTCCTTCATGCGCTCTGATAGCGGCATTGTTCCAGATACGGACACAAGAAAACTGTACACGACTGCTCCATACCCACGCTCAGATGCATCCTCAAAAGCATGGAGCTTGATTACGTTCAGGCTCGTCCATGCAGGCTGTGTATAGCATCTGGGAATCTGCCATTTGCATAGCTGTTTAAGGCCCGCTAGCCAATGAGTAAACCTGGATTGGATCTCTTCTGGTATCTCCTCATCTCACTGCAAACCCATCTGACATAGCTCTTGAAATATCCATTTTGCAGTCATTGAGAATGGTTTAAGAGATCCCAATAGGTCAAACAGTTTAGCAGTACAGCTCAGCACAGTGCGCTTAGTGACCACCAGATCAGATAACACCTCTACTCCTTCGAAAGAGAAAACATCTTCTTGCGACAACCAACTCAGCCTAAGTATTTTACGGGGCTCGACATCTGGAGAACCGCCATTCAATGATTTGTTCATCGTGTTAATTACAACTCGACTATTTGAGGACCATCCCTGCCTTCTGCATGACATTTTGGGCCTCAGTTAACACGACGCAGGCTTCTTTTTCACTGCATAGAGATAGTGTTGAATATTCACATGATCGATGAGGACATTTGCCTAACAAATTTCCATAGCAATGTTTCAGTAAACACGTGTTACCCGTGCACATTATATTTCATTCAGGAATACTTCTACAACTTGAGCAGTAAGGAGCTGAAGCAGCTCATCACAGGCGACGCCCCGCGGGCGCTCAATACATCCAGGACCACTAGCAGCGACGGAGAAGCATACCACGGTATGGGCCATGACAGAATTACTCTATTCGTCTGGGCGCGATACCCACGCCCTCTATTGGGTATTGTTGCTGGATCGGCCAAGCTATACGGCGTTTAATTATCAACTTTGTGGCACTTCGTCGACAAGAATTGTCTTTTATAACGTCTCTATCACAAAAATGATTGGGTTGAGCTAACTATCAATCACAGCAGGCAGATTTATTAGCGGTTCAACACATCGTATCACGTGTTATTTCATGTTAGAAACCTAGACGCAAGATACTCGATGTGTTAGCACATGTAAGTACCAGTTCTAACCAATAATAAATAAAAAATATCGGTTGATGCTGTCTTACAGGCGTGTTTGCGGCCACGATCGTGATCTTATTGGTAGCATTTGTCATTTCCGGCATCATCGTATATTTACGCTATGGATTTCCGGGTTGGCGTTCAGGAGTCATTTTCTGGCACCCGGTCCGACGGAGAGCTGCGGTGAGTGCTAATAACAATGCCAATATAATACTAGCTCTAGTAACTATAGCCCGCGTACAGTTGCCTGCGGCGGAGCGGAGGGCTATAGTACTAGAGCTAATATAATACATGCTTTTATGAGAACATGGCTGCGCACGATTTACCCATAGTCAGCAAAATTAATATAGCGTTTACTAGTTGCCGTGCCCCTTTCAGAGTCTATATGTCTGATAAAAATCTGATTAAATATGCTATTGCAGATTAGGCCCTATATACTCGTAAAATACCATAGTTTACCTGTTTTATCGCATTATCAGCTATTTATTCAAGTGTTATATATACACATTGAAAGAAATAAAACTGCGCCCGCATGGCTGTCGTCGTCAGCCCATCAGGTCACGACACATAACATTGATCAGAGTTAAATAAAAGTGCACTATGAATGCTATGATGAAAATGTTGTCGTTTTTATATATTACCTATTTGTTATAATATCATTTGGTAGCAAAGCAAGGTGTAAGTTGTAATCAAAAATAATCTTTTTTACACGTTACCTATATATTATCTTATAATATCAGTCGGTACCAAAGCAAGTTGTTAGATGCAATCAATCGACGGAAATAAACATACCGCTAGAAGCTAACGCAGCAATTATCTAAGAAACAGAATATGTATTAGGAAAATTCCATAAATTATATATATGTATATATACAATCGCGCGCAGCAATAAACCTATGTGATGGGGTCTGATTGGCTGAAGTCATTGAGTGCGTTGCTACATTCAATGTTAATGCAATTTCCCACGCAAAAGGCTTTCAGAATCTGTGTTGCCTTTTAGGGGAACAACGATAGTGTACTCGCTAACGTCGATTCAACGGATATCAGCAACACACGTCAGATGGCATTAGCACACATGCCGACATCGCCTGAACCGTCTACTGTGGGCAGCGACCAAACGCAAGTTATGATCAGAGCGAATGAGGAGACGTCACGCTTGTGATATATATGATTATAAGTTATATAACACACGAACATTATGCCATAACTAAACATAACTGGTCTATCCTGCCTGCACAATAAAAATTGGGTCAAAATAAAAATTACCGTGCTATGTACACTAAATCAAATTTCTTATTTCAATTGTGGTAAGTCATTATTTTATTTTACTTTATTTATACTAATAATCTATTATTAATAATGCGCGCGCACATGTGTGTATATGTAGATAAAAATACAAATTCATATAATAGGTAAAGGGTGTTTAATAATCAGCGAGCTTTCGAGACGTACATCTCTTACTCAGGCTTTCAGCTGACATTAGAATCGAACCGTATTGCTGATTCAAAATAAATTTAAACACCCGTTACTGAGGGGGTACAGGGGGCGGGGGTGCGGAAGAAGGGGGGACGGGAGACGGGAGAGAATGGGGCGGGAGACGGGAGAAAAGGGGACGGGGAGTGGGAGGGGAAGGAGCGGGAGTAGGGAGGCCAGTGGGCGGGAGGATTGAGAAAAAGATTTCGATGAAGTCCCTTGATCGACTCTCCCGAGGAAAAGCGCAAGATCCGGGGGATTTTGTGTACACGGCACACCTGATCGGACGACGGTCCAACCGACACGGAGAAGAGACAAGATGACCCTTATCGAAACCGAGACGACATGACCCGACCCTGAGACTTGATGTGAGATGATCTTGTGAGAGATCAGTAGAGGAGAGTGAACCGACGGAGAGCAAGAGAGCGGAGTAGAGAGGAGAGCGCACCGAGAGCGACAGACTGAGGAGGCAGAGGAGAGAGGAGAGAGAAACGAGATAGAGAGAGAGCACGAGTAGAGAGGAGAGCAGAGAGAGACGAGGAGAGAGAGAGAGGAGAGGAGAGAGAGAGAGAGAGGAGAGGCATAGAGAGACGATAGAGGTGGACTTAGACGAGACCGCTTATTCAGCTACGGCACGTATCGGTGCGCACGCAAAATAACAAAGAAACTCAGGCATCAGCACCGCGAAATTAAATACCACTCGAGAAATTAATACATTGTTACCGGCATAAATCTCCATCTTTATGACGGCAAACCTGGTTCGGAAACTAAGTCGACATCCATAAAAGAAAATGTGCAAGACATATAAAGTGATCCTGCGACGTCGTTCGCATTCGAGGGGATGATAGCCCCGGGCACCGGATACAAGGCGCGAAAGAGGCGGTGGCGCCCGAAGCGATGATCCTCCGATCCCGGCGGTGAGGGCGCGGCGGAGCGGATTGCAACGGGGGAGGGAGGCGGGAGGGCGCCGCGACGTCCTGTCGGGACGGCAAGACAATCTCCCATGTAAACCCCTGCCTTGTATAATAATCCTCTCGATTGGTCACGCCGTGATCTCCTGCCTCCTCGCTCTTCAACATCTCACACGTGACATCGCCCCTCAGCCGTTCTGTGAGACGCGCGCTACAGTTGGGCGTCGGCGAGCTCCCCACCCCTCGCAATTTCGCGAAAACAGGCGGCCTCCGCGCGCGCACAGGGCCGACTGCCCGGGAGCGTAAGCGGAGCAGAGGGCGGCTTAGCGATGACCCCCAGAGCTCGTGGTCTGTGCTCGCGCCTCGGTGCCCTAGGCGCCCCCCGCCCGCTCGTGTTGGCCCCTGCTTGGGCCAGGACGTCATCTGCCCCCTCCACGACGTAGGCGCGGCGAAGAGTTCCTATGACGTGCCAAACTTCAGTGCCCGCCTATGCAAGGCGCATTTTTCAACCGCCTTCACTAAATCCTCCGTATTTCCAGGCGCGATCGTACACTTTATAGTGAGAAGTGGCCCACTATGCTAATTCCTTTTCCTCGCCGTTTTTAATCGTTTTTCCAACGCTCACGATCGCCATTCGACGTCGGCGCACGATCGGACGCCCCCCCTGGCTGTCCCGGCCTAGCTGCCTCACCGCCGGGGGAACGGTCCTTGAGGCTTGCACAACAAAAAAAAACACGACACCAGGCTTGGGTGGACCTTGCTAGTACCAGTTTGGAAAATGGGTCCACGTGACGCGCTGGTGGGGCGCAGCCGTTTGGCTTGAAGCCGTGTTTTTTCAGGCGAAGGTTAAGAAAGAGTATAAGCGACCAAAGACAGCGTAGTTGTTGAACAAATTTCTCAGGGGGAGGGTGTTTCAGGCCCTCCCACAGTAGTTAGCCGGTAATTTTTGAAAAGTATGTGCATCGAAATGGCACATTTTTGCGCATTTCAATTTTCATATTAGGTGTATGGTAATCAGGGGTATAGGCACCAATCCGCATTAAGCGGCCCTTCTCTCTTCAATTTTTCTACCTCTCCGATCAAGAGGGGGTTCAGGTGCCTCCTTGTAACCCCCCTTAGGCTAACCGCCTATGTCCTCATTCAATCACCTGACGATTTGGAATTCGTGTTGATCTTGTCGTTGGTTAGCAGTCCCCACTTGCAATGTTGCCTTATCGCGTCATAATAACTGTATTCAAAGTTCCTCATATAAAAGTTAAAAAAGTTATAATATATTGTTTGAAAAAAGTTTGAGGCGCAGTATCTGAAATACTAATCGAAATAAAGACTCTAGCGGAAAGGTCTGCTCGTGGTTTGGAACTGCCTGATAAACATGCAATTTTAATTTAAATTACAAAACGATTTTACATCGTTTAGAATAGCAATAGCCGTTAAAGGATCACATTTAACATTTTGTTCGTTAATAAAAAATGTTTTTTGCTTTCCGTCTGATGAAGACACTAAAAACCATATTGAAATTTGCATTTCAACTAAAAACAAAGGCTAGCTGCAAAATAGCCGTCTATTAAAATAAAAAGGAAATTACCATGAAAGAGATTGTTTTTGCCCTCCCCTGATAGGAACAGTTCACTTTAAATAGTGTTGAAATCGGATTGGAAATAAAAACCGGAGGTTTCTGCCCGAAAATGGCCGTCTATAAGTTCCGAATATATCAAAGTTATTCACAAAGCATTTCCATTGTTCTGTTTTTTCTGTCAATAAGAGTTCAGAACCATAAAATTCAATGCAAGCAACTTGCAACAACACAAAATCTGAGCAACAGAAGATTATCTCCTTTCTTTTATCATGTTTTTGTCTGCCTGCAGAATCTCCAAAATCCAGAAGTCAGAGTCTGTTCTCGTCGATTTTGGGATTTCGTTGACATTAATGCCATTCACTAGACTCCACGTTCAACCCGAAAAGGACGAATGAGAGCAGAGAATCGGTGGCTGGGTCAATTGTAGAGACGAAAGTTAGACTGTGACAATGCTCATTTTAGAGAATGGTTTCGTTCACAGTATGCAGAAGTAACAGAATTGTGGCCAGTCCTGATGAAGACGCGTGCAGAGGCAACGAAAAATTTTTGTTTTTGTTTTGTTGCCAAATCAACAGGGTGGGGGGCCGCATTGCCTCTTGTGCCCCTTACTACGCCAGGTGCATGTCTGATTGATATAACGTTTAGCCATTTGTATAACAATCGTTGGTGACCCATGTGTAGAATTGTCGGTAACACTGCTATAGAATCGTTGATAACATTGATATAACAATCGACGGTGATAACTTGTATACAAGCATTGGTAACATTCGGTCTAAATATAGGAGCAACGTACACACGTCGCGTACACAAACTTCTAGAAGAGCCCGAAAACATCGACTCGAGGAAGGAGTGTATGGCAACCGTCAAATCAACCATAATCATTTGCTCCCACCCGTCTCTAAATCCGCACTCGCCTGATCGCGCATCCGCATCCCCAACATCCTTCTCTTCTCGCCTGTTTACACTCCTTCCGTTGGCGCGCGCAAACTAAGAACAGCAAGAACGAAACAAACAAACAACGACAACAATAACAACTAACGATGACGGACAGATAGGCACATCCCCCCCTCACGTACGAGAACAGAACACTCCCACAGATGACTTGTAATTAACAACTCTGCGGTCAAGGCAAGGAAGCTAACACGGATACCTCTCGTGTGGCATAAAAAGCCCGGAGGTTCGCCACGCCACAGGCGCAAAGACTCGTGCCACAGTCGCAGGACCAGGTCATGGAATGCGGTGGTTGCTAACGAGAGGCATTGGTTTGTCCAAGTCGTGCAGCCCGAGCTCCTTATGTGCACGCCGCGCATAGCGTGTACATACGCGGCGCGTTGTACCTTGCGGGCCTTGCTGTACAACTAGGTTGCACGTGAAGTGCTATCTGCCGTGCATCAGATGCACATGACCGCAATGCGTGCATGTGTATGTGCGAGCAATACGCTGTAGTACGTGCCGCGCAACGTGTGGGTATGTGCGCGGTACGCGTGTATGCTGTGCCACCGGCATCGCGTGTACGTGCACGCACGCGCTGTATGCGCACGCAGCGTGGTATGCGCACGAGCATGCGTGTGTATGCCGCCACGCGATGCGTGTCATGCGCCACGCTATGCGTGTACGTGCACGCATGCGTGTTACGCTGCACGCAACGCGTGTACACTGCACGCACGCGTGTACCATGCACCACGGCGTGTAACGTGCACGCACAGCGTGTACCTGCACGCGACGCCGTGTACGCTGGTTAGGGGTAGGGCGTTAGGCGTCTAGGGTAGGGGTTAGGGGTGAGCGTAAACTATATATAGGGTTAGGGTATATATATATATATACCCTTACCCTAACCCCTACCCTAAGCGCCGGCCCTAACCCCCTACCCTAAACCACACAACATACCACGTACACGCGTGCGTATGTAGGCGATTATTATATATTATATAAATATAGGGTTAGGTACTTATATAGATGTATGTTTAATATATATAGGGTTAGGGTATATATTATATCATAGGTATATATATACCCTGACCCTATATACTATATCTCTATATATATATTATTATAACCGCTAACCCTATATATATCTATATATTATATATACTACCCTACCTATATATTATATATACTATATATATATATATATATTATACATAATATATATATATACCCTAAACCCTATAGTCCAACGCCGCCAGCGGTGACGTTCGCGGTCGACGCTGACGCGCTCGCATCGAGTCGCGCCAACTCCGCAGGTCGTCAGTGCTAAACGCGCTGACACACCAGTTCATTAGAACGGTTTGACTAGAGAGTCACGTGCGAGTGCAGAAGCACTGCAGGGGGGTCCAGTTGGTGTCATCTAGTATAAGTTACAGACGTGCTGGTCAGCCACTCACTGATCAAGCAGGGCAGCGGCGTGGCGGGCAGCCTAGCTTACCGATAATGATCCCGTCGTCCGCCCCCCCCCCCCGCCTCTCTCTCTCTCGTCTTTCTCTTCTCTCTCGCTCTCTCGTCTCTCTCTCTCTCTCTGTCTCGTCTCTCTCGTCTCTCACTCTCTCTCTCTCCTCACTCCTCTCTCCGGCCTCTCGTCGTCTTCCTCCTCGTCTCTCTCTCTTTCTCTCTCTCTCTTCTCTCTCTCTCTGCTCTCTCTCGTCTCTTGCTCTCTCTTCTCTTGCTTCTCCTCTCTGGCTCGTCTCTGCTCTCTCTCTCTCTCTCTCTCTCTCTCTCTCTTTCTCCTCTCTCTGCATCTCTTCTCTCTCTCTCTCTGCTCTCTTCTCTCATCCTCGTCTTCTCTCTGCTTCGTTCTCTCTCTTCTCCCCTCTCTCTCTCTCTCTCTCTCTCTCTCCACACTCTCATCTCTCTCGCTCTCCCCTCTCTCTCTCTCTATCATCTCTCTCATCTTCTCTCTCTCTCTCTCTCTCTCTCTTATCTCTATCTCTCTCTCTTGCTCTCTCTCTCTCTTCTCTCCTCCCCGCTCTCTCTTCTCTCGCTCTCCCTCTCTCTCTCTCTCTCTCTTTCTCTCTCTCATCGTCTCTCTCTCTCTCTCTCTCTCTCTCGCTCTCTTCTATCTCTCTTCTCTCTCTCTCTCTCTCTATCTATCTCATACTCTCTCTCTTTGCTCCTCTCTCTCTCTTCTCCGCTCTCTTCTCTCTCTCTCTCTCTCTGCTCTCTCTCTCTCTCTCTATCCTATCTATTCTCTATCTCTATCTCTCTCATCTCTCTGCGTCTCCCTCTCTCTCTCCCTCCTCACCTCTCTCTCTCGCTTCTCTCTGCTCTCTCCTCCTTCTCTCTCTCACCTTCCGCCCTCCACCTCTCTCTCTACACGCTCTCTCTCTCTCTCTCTCTTCGTCTCTCGTCTCCTCTCTTCTCATCCTATCTCTCTCTTTGCTCCTCTCTATCTCTCTCTCTCTCTCTCCCTTCCCACCTCTCTCTCTTCTCTCGCCTCTCCCTCTCTCTCTCTCTCTCCTCTCTTCTCTCTCTCTCTCTCGTCTCTCTCTCATATCTCTATCTCTACTCTCTCTCTCTTCGCTCTCTCAGGCTCTCTCGGCCCTTCCCACTCTCTCTCTCTCTCTCTCTCTCTCTCTCTCTCTCTCTCATCTTCTCTCGTCTCACTCTCTCTCTTCTCTCTATCTCTCTCACTCCACCTAAGGTTACGCGTAATATACAAGGACTGCAAGCCATCAACGGCAGGTTAACATCACGCAAGATTGTCATCCAAACATTCATGTCTGCAGTGGCGTAGCCCAGCAATGAACAGGGAAGAGACGGCCAGGCGAGAGAGAAGACGAAGCGAACAGAGGGAAAAAGTGAGGTGAATGAGGAGGAAGGTATCTCCCCCCTCCCAGTAGAAGAGAGATTTTGAAAATTCGTGCCATGAAAATGCATTAATTAAAAACATAAAAACACTAAATTCAGTATTAGGGGGTAACTTTATATGAGAAGCTGGCTTATGCTTCCCTTATAACCCCTCCCTCGCTTTTTATTTTTGTTTTCAACTCCGATCGATCAACGATGCGGACGATGGGCCCCTGGGCTGTGGCGCCGAAGGCTCTGAGGTTACCACGACCAGCTTGGTGGACCCTTAAGTCCAGACCAGTGAAAATCGGTAGTACGAAGCCAGTGTTTTTCAGGGAGGGGAGCAAACCAAGACAAGCGATGAAAGACATTCTCAACGGGGCAGGGTGTTTCCCTCCCACAGTAGCGGTATTTTTGAAATATGTGCAATCAAAATGGCATTTTTGCGCACTTTCATTTTCTTATTAGGTATAAAAGGTAATAGTGGTACTAAACCAATCCATTAAGGCGCCCTTTCTCTCCTTATTTTTTAGTTACTCTCCGATCAAGAGGGGTCATTGCCTCCTTGCTGCCCCCCCCTTAGCTACGCCTATGTTCCTCATTCAAGCACTGACGGAATTATTGGCAATTAGTTGATTTGTGTTGTTAGCCAGTACCATGCAATGTGTGCATTTTATCCGTACATAAACTGTCTTCAAGTTCCTCATATTAAAGTTAAAAAGTTAAATTATTTTTGTGAAAAGTAGAGGAAAAATAAAATGAATGAAATCGGAAGAATAAAGACTCTACGGAAACAGGTGGCCTTAGATGTGTGTGAACGCACCTGAATAAAACATAGCACTTTATTTAAATTACAAAGATTTACATGTTAGAATACGATAGCGTTAAAGATCACAGTTTACATTTGTGTTCGTTTATAAAAAATGTTTTTGCTTTCCTCTGATGAAGAACTAAAAACCATATTGAAAACTTTGATTTCAATAAAACAAAAGGTAGCTTGCCAAAATACGCGCTCTATTAAATAAAAGGGAAATTTACCATGAAAAGAATTGTTTTTTGCTCCCCTGATATGAGGAAACAGTTACTTAAGAATATGTGTTGAAATTCGGATTTGACAATAAAAACCGAGGTGGATGCCAAAATGGCCGTCTATAAGTTCGAATATATCAAAGTTATTCAACAAAGCATTTCCAATTTCTTTTCTTCTGTCAATAAGAGTTCAGAACCATAAAATTCAATCAAAGCCACTATGACACACACAAATATGGAGCAACAGAAGGAATTACTACTCCTTTATTTTAGTCATGGTTTATGTCTGCTGCAGAAATCTCAAATCCAAAAGTCAAGTCTTCTCTGTCCGATTTTGCCCACCACGCGAACACTTTTGCAGGATCTTCGTTGACCACATCTAATGATCACTTCCACTGAACTCACATGTCTCATACGAAAAGGGAATGACGAGCAGAAAATCCGGTCCGCGCTGGGTCGATCTGACCTAAACGAAGTCCTTAGACCTCTGACAATGCCTCACTTCTTAGAGGCAATGTTGCGTCTCACGCAGCGATGCAGAGTAACAGGACATTTGTCGGCCATGTGTGTGTAGTTTGATTGGTGAGAGCGCCAACGGAACAATTTTGTTTTGGTTTTGTTTGCAATCAACAGCGTGGGTTGGCGTCATGGGCCCTTGTGCCCCCCCTTAGCTACGCAGTGGACGGAATAGTCTAAAGCAGGCACGTAACCAGCAAAAAATAAACTACTTCCAGTAGTGATATGTTCTTAGGGCACAGAGCGAACGTAGTAGACTCATGGCAAACACCGTCAACTCGTGAACCGACTACTGGTGTGCATACACGCGCAGTTCGCGCGCAGAGGGGATATCATTGTCACATCAAATATGACATCCTCGCGCCATCTATCGGTAGAAATAATTCATATGCGCACATTGTATGTTGTGTGTAACCGTAAAATGCATTATTAAAGGTATTATAATACTCTAAAACGTATTTAACGTAGAGTGGAATTAATATAATTACAGTACCTATACAGAACAACATTTACTGCATAAGATTGGTAAAGGTTTGGACGTGAAATTCCCATCCTACACTTCGATGTATGTATTTCAATAATGGCGTCGGGTCATGTGCGCCAAGTGCGCATATAAATTATTTCTACCGATAGATGGCGCGAGAATGTCATATTTGATCAAAGTCGCTGCTACATTATTGAAGACGTAGTTGATTTCCAAAAGGTGTTAAATCCACGTTTGTACTATAGTCTTTAGAAGGTATCATCACATTTTCATTTTAGATTTGTTTTGTACAACTACTCTTCTACTTCTACTTCTCTACTTGTATACTGGACAGTCTGTAAGGAATAAACGTCCAGGGCTATAGCTAGCCATGGGGTGTGACCTAGCTTGGGTAATTAGCCAGGTAGTTAGCCCACAGACTAACGCTCACAGGCACTTGAAGCGTTTCAAGTGCCTGTGCTAACGCTGATAGGGTCTATGTCCCCCAGGGTACTGCCGGAACGTACCCTGGATACGTTCCCCCTCCCTGGATACCCTGGTACCCCGGATCCGGGTTCTGGTACCGGATACCCTGGTTCCCTGGGTACCCTGGATTCGTACCCTGGATACGTTCTGGATACGTTCCCTGGATACGTTTCTGGAACGTACCCTGGAATACTACTATCTAATATGCCGGACCGTACCTTGCCTACTCCACTAACGAGTCTGGGGAGTCGCCTACGCCTACTCCTTAACCATAATTCTACCCCTAACCTAAACCGACCAGGCTCTCCGACTTACACGTCGTAGGACTCTCGCCAACGTAGTGTTAAGCGAGAAGGGAACTTGTGGCTAACCCTAACCCTAACCCTACCCTAACCCTAACCATATCAGCCAGATAGTTACCAGGGTACGTTCCGGCAGTACCCTGGGGGACATAGACCCTATGAGCCAGACGCACAGATACATCCGTATACATCCGGACTAAATGTATCCATTAGTCTGTGGTTAGCCTTTTAGCCGAATGGCACTGAGGGGGCATGGTTTCAGCCAGTTTTTTTTGCGCCCTCGGTGGTTCTTTTACATCCCCATTGGCCTAATTAGTATTACTGGAGACGGGACCGCCATTTTACGTGGTCATCCGAGCCACGGGAGATTCACAGTCTCCAATGTTGAGAGCCAGGTTTTTACACCTTGAGAAAATTCACTGCCCCGGCCGGGGTTTGAACTCACAGCCTTCAGTGGAGCTGAGAGGGGCGATGTCCACCAGGGTACTGCCGGAACGTACCCTGGTACTATCTAATATGCCGGTCCGTACCTCGCCTACTCCACTAACGAGTCTAGGGAGTCGCCTACGCCTACGCCCTAACCCTAACTCTAACCCTAACCATATCAAATAGTTACCAGGGTACGTTCCGGTATACCGGACCATACCCCGGGTACGTTCCGGCAGTACACTGGGGAGCATAGACCCTATGAGCATCAGTGGACAGTATACGTGGCCTAACCACTGGGCCACGAACTCTTGTTGGGTTACATTATTGCAGATAAGGTCTATGCCCCCCCTGACCTCTGTTTGACCTGGCTCGTTTAGCTATTTCTGACTAATATATATATATAATATATAATATATATAGGGTTAGGGTTAGGGTTAGTCAGAATAGCTAAACGAGCCAGGTCAAACAGAGGTCAGGGGGCCATAGACCCTACGAGCTACATTATTGTATCTACTCTTGGTCAGAGTAGCGTTTACACCCCCATGTCGTGAGTTTGGTTAATGTGGGGGTACAGTCTTAAAAATTTACAGAGGTCTTCTTGAGGGTGTTGTCAACTAATTTCTAGCAAGAAAGTTCCCCTGGCCAAAAAGGTCTGTGAGGTGGTAATTTTTTTTTGGTGTGTGCACGTTTCGATGTCCTAGCAAAGCGAGCACCGCAGGGTTTTCATTTTTCAAAAAATGGTGCAATTTGGTGCATTCTAAGCTATTCTGTAGTTTATTGATGGAAGAACAGTGATTATCGTCAGCAGGGCGGTGTTTTGGACAAATTTATGTTAGGCGTCTGAGAATTTGAGCGAGGTGGCCCGCCTCGCTCGTGTCAATGCAGGGGAAACACTGCTTTCTTCTAAGAGTAAAAATGGAAAAGTTGCATGAGCGTATTGATTACTTCGTTATTGAGAAGCTGTAAAAATGTGCAGCGCAATCTCGAGATTGGCGCAGTTTTTTGCGATCGGTATATTGCGCAGCGCAATCTTAAGATCGGAGGATTGCTCGCAACATATAGACATTTTAGGAATGTGTAGACCATCGTCTTCGGAAAATACACTACGTGTTTGTTTGTTTCTTAAAAAATGTAAACGCTAGATAGTGAGTTCTGCCAGACATGTTTCCGATGTTCGGAAGAATATCCACGGCCTCAATAATATACCTGCACTTCTGTGAGCACTGCAACCGCACGTATTGACTTAATTAGCTCGTCTAGCATAGCCCCTTCTGATCGACGGGCCTACACCAGTAGAGCTAGTATTGACTGTGCCCCTGTATATAAGTATACGGACATTTCGACTTTGTTTTTAGGTGAACATCAATCAGCAGGGACATTGGCATTATGGCTACCTCGCTCGCATTGCCGCTAGCAGGGAAAGTAGCGATAGTTACTGCATCAACGCAGGGTATCGGCTTGGCCATATCGAGAAGACTTGCCAAGGATGGAGCCCGAGTTGTCATCAGCAGTAGGAAGCAAGGAAACGTTGATAAAGCTCAAAAGCAGTTACAGGATGAAGGATTAGATGTCACTGGAATGGTCTGCCATGTGGGCAATGCGGAAGACAGAAAAACTCTTGTTACAAAGACGCTCGAGAGAAATGGCTCCATTGACATCCTCATTTCTAATGCAGCTGCAAATCCAGCTATGGGTAATATCTTTGATACAACTGAAGAGCAGTGGACGAAAATCTTTGACACTAATGTTAAAAGTGCTTTCTTTCTCGCTAAGGAAGTGGCGCCTCATATGCAAAAAAAGGGCAATGGAAATATCGTATTCGTGACCTCTATTGGTGGATATCAACCTTTTGAGCTCTTAGGATGTTACTCGGTTAGCAAAACTGCTCTTCTAGGGTTGGTCAAAGCGATGGCGCCACAATGCGCAGAAATGGGAATCCGTGTAAATGGAGTTGCGCCGGGTGTAATTAGGACAAAGTTCAGTGCTCCTCTTCACACTTCAACTTCCATTGCAGAGGAGGTGCTGAAGCAGGTGCCTGTAAAGCGGTTTGGGGAGCCGGTAGAGGTAGCTGGTACCGTATCGTACCTGGTGTCAGACGATGCCTCGTATGTTACTGGTGAGACAATTGTCATTGCTGGTGGCATGCAATCGAGACTGTAGCTGATCAGTAGTGAGCAGCAGTGTGTGCAAAATACATGAGCGTGCCCAAGTATATAGAATAATTTTGATAAAATTATTGCTCTATGTGATTGTCAAATATTTAAAGTGGAAAATCTTCATTTAATTATTGTTTCTAAGACAAAATAATGGTTGATGCTTGTTGCCAATGATTTACATAATGTATGTAGATACCACGATTTACGTGAATAGGAACCATTATTAATGACAACTACGATCCCTTGACTAAATCTGGATATTTGAAATTTTAACATTATTTGCAAACGAGCATATGCAATTTATTTACATATGACTATGTGATCAACCACATTAGTAATTTAGTCAAATGTGTTTTAATTAGGGTATGCTATAATTATCATTAACCTTGTTTTGATAATTAATAGAGTTGAATTCAATTCATGTAGAAAATTATCAAGAACAATTAACAAACTAAAGTATAATAATAAAAAAATTATATACAAGTTTACTAAAAAAATTTAATAACAATTACTGACTATCCATCATCAATAAATTCCTAGTATGAAATGGGTGTATTGTATTACTCCAATACAAATATACCTCATTCTTCCAATCTATCAATGCAAAGATGTCTGTATTAAGTATTGCATACGATTGCACACACATCGATTTGACGATCGACAGCACTGCTTGACCCCATCTCCCATTGACAGTGAAAAATAAGCTAGGAAGAAGAACTCAACAATTGACAATTGCCCAATGGAACGCCAGGACCATTCTCAACCGAGAAGCAGCCGACCGACCGGAAAGACACACTGTGCTAGTAGCAATGATGATGATATCATGATACAGATGTAAATACTTTCCAACTATCTATTGATAATTTGACTAATGTACAAAATATGAAAGCAATAATTTCTATTGTCACTTGTAGGATCCAATATGTTAACGTTTTCTTTCTGCAAACCACTTGTATATTGCAGGTGCTGATTTCGTTTCGTCTGTGACCTTTTTTGACTTCTCCTTTCCCATGAGTTTTTTTTTCATCTCCATCTTCTGGGTGATGACAGAGAGTTCCCTTTCTCTCTCGATCCGCTTAATTAGCTCCTTGTAGTTCTTTTTTCTCTCTTTTGTAATGGCCTAGAAGATATAGGTTATCTGTATACAGCTTCTCTTTACTGTCAACCTTCCTTAATTCGCATCAGACGGGACCACGGCATTTTCTACGAATTACGTAATCAACAAATTAGATTTAATACGTATTTTCCACAAATTCTATTTAATCCGTAGAAACCACGAAATAGAAGATAATTCGTGTAAACAAAGCTAGGTTTGCCAGCTAACTTACTGCAAGGGACTCGTCGCTTGATGGCCCAATAATAGGTTTTCTGCTCAGGTCGTTCAAGCGAGGAATGTTGTAACTTCTAGCGAGAAACTCTGGGGCTGTATCCATGTGCTCTGCCACGTCAAATGATTTTGCTGAAAAAGTGACCAAACAATCGCCTACATGGAAAATGTAAATGACATAATTGTGACCCCCAATGAAAACACTTATTCATACTAATTACATTAAAAACAAAAAAATAAACTAACTGACCATTGCTGTATACACCACAGTGACCACACTATAGGTTTGTAATATGTTTCCTGTTTATATTTTTGAAGTTAAAACACATACAGCATGCATTTAATCGGTGCGTAAAATACTTAAGCTGTAATATTTTATTTGATACAATCTGCCAAGAAACACTAAATATATATGAGCACCTTGCATCCGCGTGTCAACAAAAAATGTATGCTTGTTTTGCGGTTTTCCATCGACATCTAGTAAATGAAGCCCAGACTTCAATTTCTCTATTTTCTGCAAGATAATAGATACCCTTGTGGAGTTATGCACAAAAAATGATTAAAACACTGGCTGCATATCTTATTCAAATGTTTAGTGAACGATGCTGAAGAAACTAGGACTGCTACATAATAATTCATGACCATTAATAAAAAACAACATAATATGTGATCATTGCTAGCATTTGTGAGACTACCGACTGACCAACTACAACTACAACAACCTTAATCAATTAAAGAAAATCTCATCGATCCAAGAAGTTGCCAAATAATTATAAAATTAATGTAGCAGGGATATTCTACAGGTATTGTGTAAAATAAATGATAGACAAATTAGCCTAAATATCTTGATTAAACAAAACGTAGTACTATGTGATCTCGTATTAAGGACCACCATTGACAGAAAATAGGTTACGGAGCAGAGCTACCTTTATTTCAGAATTGCGCTTGCAGTTGATATAATTGAGATCTTGTGTTTGCATGAGTTTCTTCTGTGTAAGTGGTAGATCATCTTTCTTCTCCTCCTCAATGTGAGCACCATCCTGGCGGCATAAGTAACAAAAATGTCACTGCCAACAAACACACAGGCGAGCACCTAAACTGTGCAAGAGAAGCAGTACATACTAAAGAATTACTAGAAGTTACCAGTATACACTAGCAAAGTTAACCAATAGGTATTATGATTTATCAGCAGTTAAATCAATGTGCATTGCACAGTTCCTGCTGTGCTATGCCGAAACCAACTAGTACACAATCAAAATGCCATAACGAGATGGTTGACTTTGTATATATATATACTTCAGTAAATACATAATATGTAGTTATCAATGGACAGGGCTAAGTTTAAATGAAAGTGTCAATGACACTGTAGCTCACCACAAAAAGGGACACAAATGAGTGAGTGAGAAGAAGTCGGTTGTAATTGAGCAACCATCGACGTACATTATAGAAACGAAGAGTATACCAACTATATACTCCCATTATATACTCTTGATAATTATGAGTAATTTTTTATGTGAAAATAAATGTTTGAGATGTGAAAGTCTGAGATGTGGGCGAGTGATTGGCGTTACACCTAAATGATCGCCATTTAACGTTTTCAGATTTAGGCAGTTGCCTAAAAGCGGAGCTCCCGATGTGTAACGTGTAAGATTGAGAGGATACGCTTATTCCACGTAGCTGCTATATACCACGTGACAATGGTGTTTCCCTGTCCATAACACCACTTTTGTCAAAGGTTAATTGGTTGCATGGAAGTGTTTACTTCGTATGAGTTTTTCTAGGCGGTAGCACACGGTTGCCATCTGTATATCGCAATAATAATTTATAAACCAAAATGAATCATAATTTGTGACGGTAGATGGCGCTATACCCGCTTTGATGTTTCTTAGCGATGGCATTCGAAATAAATAAGTTATGCTGCGTTCCGACATGTTTTGTAAAACTTTACTCTAATATAGACGTTTTATCGGCAGGGTGGAGAGGAAATACCAATTTTGTATTAAAGATATTGTCAATGAAATCTTGTAAAACAAACCAGATGAGTGTGACACCACAGACTGTTGTGTCCATATAATATGCAATATAATTGCCAAAACCTACCTAATTTGCATAATTTTTTTAAATATCAAAACCCCTAGCCCTTATTCATTCACATACCAAAAATGAGCAAAATCCGTTGAACCTGAACTGACTAATGGCAATTCCAATTTTTGCCAAAAAAATGGCCTTGGCTCAAAAGTACGTCGACTGGCGTGCTCCAAAATAGGACCCAATTTCAAACATGTGGGTCAAACAATTCCTGAGTTATCGTTGACCGTAGCCAAATGTTGACGGACGGACGGACGAGCGTACGTACGATGGATGATGACCCATGGCAATAGCTCATCTTGACGATGTCAAGGTGAGCTAAAAACAGAGTACAATCACATTTCTACATCACATTTTCTTGAAGTGAAATTATATAAATCTAAACACCTTAAGTTTGCTGTTGACCATTTTGAAGTAGAACTCATCTGGGTTTCTTTCTAGAGCTTTCTGCTTCAGACCTTTTAGGAACTTTTGCTTTTTTTGAAAATCGCTAAAAAACAAATAAAATTAGTCAAAAAACCATGTTTTACAGTAACACATACAGATGTGGATACATATTTTAGCTTATACACTGAATAATGTTTTCTGTGCTATGGAAGAGACTATAAAATAAGGCCTAACATGAAAGTAAATGGTATATGTTCATTCAAAGCTAATATCCCATATGCACTAGGTCAGAAACGAAAATACTAATTAAACATGCCAGCTTTTGCCAAGTTCAATATGATCAATCAGTTCTAATGATGATATGGAAATTTCCCTTACTTTGCACGAAGTTTGTAATCTTTTTTCTTCTCTAATGCTCCAAGATGAGATCTGCTTGACAGCTGTAAGTACATAACCAACAGTGATAAGATACAACCGAGCTGGAGTTTACCATGCAAATCTGTCTACGGGTGAATCCCCATATCTATATGGCAGGGTATCTTCTACATAAGAGGCACAGTGGCGCACCGCCGTTGTGAAAATGTTCCTGTATTAAAATTTTACCTGCCCCCGGGCCCCCCTAGCTGGTCGAGTTCCTGCGCTGCTCGCTTTGCTAGGTCCTCGAGATGCACAGACACGCCTTTGAATCCATTATGCGTGTTTTTCCCCCAAACTGGCCATTACCTCTGTTGTCTAATTTTCCCTCAGAAGAAACCCTGTATGGGTAGTTAATGTAGTACCATGAACAGATGTATAAAATTATAATATGTCATATGTTCATGTAGCTCTACTACTATAGTGCCCTAGGTTTACTGCATCAAGCCCCGAAATGGTGCAATGTACTATACTTCTAGTGCCCTGGGTTTACTGCATCAAGCCCCGAAATGGTGCAATGTACTATACTTCTAGTGCCTCACACATACCTATACAAAATGCAACAATACAAATAGCGGCAATACAAACTTGCCCAAAAAGAAGTAGCCAACTGGGCCCTTAAAGTAAAAATATTAGGGACACAAAATATCACATGTAACGTCAATGTTTAGGATTTGTGTACCTGAAAATTTTCACACTAATAAACATGTATTAGGATGTAATAGGATGTAAGCAAATTAAAATTGGATAATCATAGCACTCAAATCATAGTAGATATTCCACTGATTATGGAATGTTTACCTATGCAAAGAAACCCTCCGATTTTAGGTAGGAGTGTAATGATTCACCAATACATCGGTGAATCACAATACAGCGGCCGACGAAACAATAATCGATATTGCACTGTCCGTATCTCAATATAAACGATTAGATTTAAAGATCAACATTTAGTCAAGCTAAACTATTTAGTGTTGAGTATAGGCCTACCGTGCATAATTTTAATAGCGGACTACTTAGAGAACGTGAAGCGTAATAAAACTAGGTACAACCCGCGTACCATTCACAGTCTGAGCATCAGATCACAGGCCCTTGGAGGCTCATGTGTCAAGAAGGGTTCGCTCTTTTACTCTGGGCCATGTCTTATAGACTAGCACCCTTCTTGACACGTGAGTCTCCAAGGGCCTGTGATCAGATTCAGTTTTGAATGCCAACTCACGCTGAAGGGGTCATTGTCGTATAGGGTACTACACATATGTACCCGAGGTAACTATCTGATATGGTTAGGGTTAGGGTTCGGGAGTAGGCGTAGGCGACTCCTTAGACTAGCATTATATTACATTTATGTATACATATATGTAGCTCGGGTACATATATGTAGTACCCTATACGACAACGACCCCTTCAGTATAACAGATACCTAACTCACTAGATACAATAATGTAACCCAAACCCAAGAGGATAGGGTTACAACGCGAGCCTATCCTTTTCTGCGGAGGAATGCCCGAGTGAATCACTCGGGCCGGTTTGCTGGTGTATTTTCAGAGAC